CCGCTACCGACATCACCAAAATATGAATATCAAAAAGATATGACATACGTGATTTAGCCTGTCCATTTAAAGAGGTCAGTGGTTATCTATGTTTTGTGTTTTTTTTCATAATCAGCTGATCTTTTTGACATTCACGTCACTTGTTGACGTAATACGCAATGTTATGTCAAATAGGAATAAATATAACCTCGAATAGTCACGATATCGTTATGAAAATATTTATATAATGTACCAAATATCGCGTTATTTAACATAACTATTGTTAAATTAACATACATACATGGATACAGCGATGGTTATATCTTTAGTTTCTAATGAAGAAAACTGTTAAAAAGTAAGTATAATATTTCAATATATTTTGACATAATTATATGATGAGAAACAAATATTTCTTGCAAGATTTTCCTCTACCGGGATATACAGTTTCTTTATCGGAGATCTCTCAAAAATAACTTATGTTCAATGTTGTAAAAACAATCCGTTGTGATTTGTGCGATTTTATTAGTTAAATAACAACGCGATACGTTTTATAGCGAAAATGGATTTTCTCGTGGGAGGCCTGGCGGGCGTTGGCGCAGGCTTTTTTAGCAATCCATTTGATGTGGTGAAAACGCGTATGCAGTTGCAAGGAGAGCTTCGGGCACGCGGACAACATAATGTGTATTATAAAAACGTTCCACATGCGATTTATACAATTATCAAACATGATGGAGTGGCTTCGTTACAAAAAGGATTAGTGCCAGCTCTTTGGTTTCAATTAGTTGTCAATGGAGTGCGGTAAGTTTGATTTGCAGACAAATACTTAAGCTTGTTTAATATTCATCAACTACAAGCATTCATACCATTTTTTAGACTTCATAGTTCTATTTGTAGTGGGTTTATATCAATTTTGCATTTGTGAAGTCTCTTGCTAGGAACAGAATACTCCCTACCCCTGGCAATGTCCCTGTCATCATGTAATTTTAAATTTTTGTACTAATGTGTTTTGCTTTGATGTCATTATAATTTTTTTGAGATTTTGTGCACAATGTTTTATAGTTTCTTGTTTTTAGACTACTCTTAATTATGTAGCCATTTTGGCAAATAACAAAACAGGCTTGTCAATTAATTATTACATTGAGAATCTTTATGTAATAATGTGGAATGTAATCTATTCAAGAATATAAGGAAGTCTACAGGATCTTATGGAGAACATTCCATCATTCATTCACTATCATGGTAATCCATTTTTAACATTCTAAGAAAAACACTAGTGAATTAATCAAGTGTATAATTTATGTAAAATTTGTGTTAAATCATTAATAAATAAACTTACACACTTTTTTTCCTTCAAAAGCTTTTTCATTGCTGATTACATAGAAGAATGCCAAATTAAATGCATTTAAAACAATATAACATATTTTAAATTCTAATTTTAGGTTAGGTATATACCAACATGCCGATGATTATGGTTTGCTAAGAGATGAATTGAACAATACAAAGTTTATAAACAGTATGTTCTTTGGGTCCTTAGCGGGGATGGTGGGAGCATTCTTTGGTAGTCCGTTGCAACTGGTTAAGACACAATTAATGTCATATTCTTCGGAGAAAATAGCTGTGGGCACACAGCATGCGCACAGTGGTATGACATATGCAATAATGAAGATATATAAAAAGAACGGCTTGTCAGGTTTATTCAGAGGAGCACATGGGATGATGATAAGAAATTCCATTGGTTCAGCATCACAAATTGCATCCTTTTCTATGTAAGTAATAAGTATGATTTTTAGACATGAGTAACTCAGATTGTATGATCTACAGATCAGCATACTAGATGAATGAAGCTGATCAATTGAGGTGCTCAATTTGTAGCTGTATAGAGTTATAATTTGTGTGAGTGAAGTTACTGAGCAGTTTATGTCTCATTGGTTGAGCGAATTTAGTTGTTGAGCCGCAGCTCAACAATTCATGTCTATGTGAAATTATTTTTCAAACTGGACACATGCTTTAAGTGTTTTCTATATTTTGTAGAAGTTATTTTATGTTTTCAGAAGCAAAGAATGGATGGACAATAATAATTTATTCCAGCAATCAAAATATTTGTCAGCTTTTATAGCTGGTAACATTGGCGCAATCATGAAGACTGTCACACTCACTCCTATGGATGTAATAATGACGCGACTCTACAACCAAGGTATGTTTCTTGTATTAATTGAGACATTTTAAATCCTATTTTTGATAGAATAAGGTTTACAATCTATTAACAATTGAGAACATTTTTTTTTTTCAACAACTTAAAGACAAGTTAAAACACCTCACAATCTATCTTAAACTTTTATATGCTGACTAGCTTTCGCCTGCGACTCCGTCCGCGTGGAATTAAAAAAGAAACAAAAGTGAGTAGCCTATGTGTTCTTCAAACTATCCTCTACATCTATACCAAATTTCACTGAAATCCGTTGAGCCGTTTAGGCTACAAACTCTAACAAACATCCATCCATCCATCTTTGGCATTTATAATATAAGTATGAAGTATTATAGTGTAAATAGGAAAATTTTGTGTTTTTGTATGTAAGGAAAAAACTCTAAAACTACTGTACATATTTAAAAAGTTTATTTGCCTTTAGAAAGCTACATTATCACTGAGTAACATAGGCTATATTTATTACGATTTTTCACTTAAAACAAAACTTTTTTTAGTGTGATATAAAGGTCTTGCATTTAATCTCTAGTTTACATTTTTTTCTCTAAACTAAATAAATTTTATCACAAAAACTTCACAGTTCCTTTTCTATTAAAAGCCGGTATATATCTGAATCAATTATTGCTTGGTTTTAAATATTTTATTTTCTCTTACAGCCGTGGACGTCAATGGTCGTGGTCTTCTTTATACCGGTATACTGGATTGCGCGCGTAAAATAACTAAAACGGAAGGTCTTTTAGCGTTTTACAAAGGAATCGGTCCCTCGTACCTCAGGCAGGCGCCACATTCCGTCCTGCTTCTGGTCTTCTGGGATATGTTGAAAGATTTTGAAAAACATTTAGGCTTGAAAAAATTAAATGCATAACCTTCATCAAATGAATATGAAATAATTTATTTTAATGTTAATACTTATTTACCATATTTGAGTTATAGAAATATGTACAAAATAACCAAAGATCTTATTACCCCTTATGGGCTCCCACTGTGGGAACATCTCTTTAGTATGTTTCAAATGTCAAATATGTGTTTTGTCAGTGAAAGCAAAGTCCTATAACTATACATGTTAAATAGCAGTCTCAGTATTACGTATTTGTGATCTTATCATTACATTATGTGTATTTTATTTACTTTGAATATAAGATAAATCCAATCAAGGCCAGAACATTATTTAAGAATCAAGATAACAATTGTCTTATAAGTGGTAAAACGGTATGAAGGCAGTAACCTTGAATTTTCTACGAAACTCATAAGAATATAGTTGTCTCTTTTTTTCTCTTTGTAGAAATAGAGATGACAATACATGTTTTGTTGTTTAATTTTGATAGTTGTTTACAATGGCTTTGGTTTAAGTATGGAATTGTCATTTAAATCGATAGTTGTAGAAATACTGATTTATTGTAAACACAGCTTAGAGTAGAATAAATTACATGTATAGAATTTTGCCTGTCTACTTAAGAAATAAATTGTCTATAATGTTTAGTTAACCTAATAGTGCAGTTTAGTAGGCTAACATTAGCTTTAGTAGAAAATTCCAGCAATAAGTTTGTGGAAATCTACTAGGTACATTTCGTTTATTTTTTTATTTTCTCGTTACGTTTAAATGTATTTATGAAAATGTGAATAGAATTAGATTGTTTGTTGATTATTGTTTAAGAAAAATAAACTGTTTTAAAATAGAACTGTCTTTTCATTTCAACAATCATTTTTTATTATTGATTTTAGAAGCATTTCAATCGGTAATTTCAGATTCTTTAGTCGTAATAATAAAATTTAAACATATTTTCTTAAACTAACCTCACTTTTAGGCCCTGAAAAATGGCGGGAAATATTACACACAAAAAAGATGGCGTCTTACGTGACGTCACAGACATGGCGATGGGCGGGGTATCTGCGATGTTTGCGACGCTGTTCACTAACCCA